GTGTCTGTGTGTGTTTGTGTTGCAGGTTGTTTGAAGAAGCTGCCACCAAACTGAACCTGGTGGGTTTGGTGTTTTTCCTGCAGCAGTTAAGAAAAGCGTCTCAGTCTCAACTGTTTGATTCCGTCACTGAGACCGGAGACTATTCACTGGCAATGCCAGGTACACACACACACACACACACACACACATTAATATCGTCTTCTTCTATTTCTGTTTAACATGAAACTTACGTCAGAGTTTCTTCGTCTGCAGGAGAAGCTAAGTCGACGCTGGAGCGCCGCAGCGCCCTCCATCTCTTCCGATTGGGCGAGGCCATGCTGCGGATCGTCAGGAACAAGAACCGACCTCTGCTCCACATGATGAGGGCGTGGAGCGTGGTGGCGCCACACCTGGTGGAGGTAAGGAACTGTAAACATTTCCTTCTGTGTAAAGAGCCTTGAAATAATATATATTATGATTTGGTGTCATACAAATAAAATTGAATTGCTTTCAGGCGGCGTGTCACAAAGAGCGCCATGTTTCCCAGAAGGCCGTTTCCTTCATCCATGACGTCCTGATGGAGGTCCTGACGAGCTGGGCGGAGCTTCCACACTTCCACTTTAACGAGGCTCTGTTCAGGCCGTTTGAACACATCATGCAGCTGGAGCTGTGCGACGAGGACGTGCAGGACCAGGTCTCTGCAGGAAACCGTGATCAAGTGTCAGGTGACTAAAGCTAAACAAGCTTTTAAAGGTGCGTTCGTCTCCCTGCAGGTGATCACGTCGATCGGCGAACTGGTGGAGATGTGCTCTCCTCAGATCCTGTCAGGGTGGAGGCCTCTGTTCAGCGCTCTGAGGACGGTGCACGGCAGCAAGACAGACACTAAAGACTATCTGCTGGGAGAGTACTCCATGGGTCCGTGTGACCAAACACACATCTGAACGTTACAGATAAAAGATGAGAAATTCTTCTCCACCTCCTCTCATCCTCTGTCCCACCATCCTTCTCTTCTCCGTCCCTCCCTCCTCTCGTTCTCTCCTGTAGGGAAGTCTCAGGCTCCGGTGTTCGACGTCTTCGAGGCGTTCATCAACACCGACAACATCCAGGTTTTTGCCAACGCTGCCACCGACTACATCGTTTGTCTGATGAAGTTCGTCAAAGGTTTAGGTTGGTGATGATTTCGATCCTCAGGAGTCGTGTTCACGTTCACGTGACGAGGAGCGGAGGGTTCCGTTTGAGACCCTAACCCTTTAGTGTGTGTGTGTGTGTGTGTGTGTGTGTGTGTGTGTGTAGGGGAGGTGGACTATAAGGAGATCGGAGACTGTGTCCATGTGTCGGATCACAGCTCCACTGACCTTTGTCTGCCGGCTCTCGACTACCTCCGCAAATGCTCACAGGTTCGAGTCCTCGCTCCGTCCGCACTGAAACACTGAGCTTCAGATGCTGAAACTTTTTTCTCTGTAATTTGTTTCTTTTTCTTTTCCTGTGAAATAAGCAACTTTTTGATTGACAGCTGCTGGCAAAGATCTACAAGATGCCGTCCAAACCCGTGTTTCTGGGGGCGCGGCTGGCCAGCCTGCCAATGAGATCACAGGAGCGCTCTGTCAGCAGCGAGGACGGGATGGACTGTGTCCTGCAGGAGTTTGATGACGACACAGGTAAATACGTCATCCGTCCCTCTCTGCTCTGTACGACCCTCTGGTCCCTGAACGCCTCGTACGCTCTCTGCAGGTCTGATCCAGGTCTGGATTCTGTTGTTGGAGCAGCTCACAGCTGCAGTTTCCAACTGTCCTCGAACGCATCAACCTCCAACTCTGGAGCTACTGTTCAGTCTCTTGAGAGAAGTCACCGTGGTACCAGGTAACACACACACACACACACACACA